ACAAGAACTCGCTCACTTTATCCCTCAATTCTGGTAACAATCAATCACGTCTTCCCCGAATATAAGCAAGCCAATAAAATTGTTCCTTCTATGCTGACTTGCAAGGCAATGGAAGTATCTTATATTTCTATCCCCTTCCTTGACCCATTTCTCCCTTGATTTCTGTCTCCAGCTAGCCTATTCCATTTTTAGGAAAACACCAATTTTTTCTTTTGAGTGTCTCCCTTTGTAACCACTCCTCTGCCTACAATGCACCCTCCTCCTCCATTTTGTCCAATCTGCTCACTTCCTTCATCATGACACTTATTTTCATCTCAGTCTTCATACCCTCATCTCTGCACCATTGCTTGATTTCTTTTTTCAAATGCTTGAATTTATTCACAATAATAAAACTGGACATACCTGTTGGGCTGACACTACCCCACCACACCTTAACTGTCTCTTTAAATTCATTAACTTTCAGCCACTTCACATCAAACCGGAAGGGGCAAGGGCCCCAAAGAATGCTGTACGTCTCCAGACATATGGGAAAGTGATTGGAGGTTAACCTGTTTAATCTTTTTTGACAAAGGTTAGAAAAATTATAGTGTACATCAACAGAAATCAAAAGCCTGTCAATTCTGAAACTCGCGGGGCAAAAACGTTGGTTGGTCCAGGTCCATCTAACCCCAACCAAAGGAAGGTCTATCTGCCCAAGCTTCTCCATGATCTCATTAAATTCCTCAGCACATTTCCTGTTGAAATGATCACCAGTGCGTTCCATACTGTTCAGGACCATGTTGAAGTCACCACCTATCACCCAAGGCCCCTTCCATCTGGATTTGCTCTCCTCAAGATCTCTTCACAAGAGAGCACGCTCCCTCCCTTCCCCATGATTGTATACGCCTGTGGATAGCCACTCCATTCATTTCTGTTATCTCTGAATGTACACGATAATGTGCAGGATCCGATGGTCCTATTAACACATTTCATTCTGCTTTCATCCCATATGATGATGATTCCCCCAGAGGCACCGGTGGAAGGGAAAACACACCAGCCCACCATGCTGTTGCTCCATAAACTTCTTACTGTTTTGCTATCAATAACTTCCATTTTAGTATGTTGATTATCTTCCAATAATTTGAAACCTGAATGTTTGATATTAAGTGAGTTACCGAATTTCATTTATGTAAAATGCATATAATAATCTACATCTATATGTTGAGAATCTTGAATAATGAAAGGCTCCATGCTGGTTGAACTTATGTATTTATGTTCATGCAGTTCTCACCTACTTCTGAGCACATATTACTTGCCTATGGACGGCGTCATGGTTCTCTTCTTAAAAGCATTGTCATTGATCGTGAAATGACATCACCAATTTATACAGTTCTAGAGGTATAATAACTTTAATTATTATTTTTTCTTGTTTAACTGTCATGGTACATGCTGTACTTGCTTGATTCCTTTTCCGGTAACTCCAGACAACTGACAATTAAAATCACGGGTGGAAGAAAATGAGATCATTAAGATATCTGTAGTTTAGCTACTATGGTTGGGTGCCAATTTTTGCTGTTCTTTTGTAGTTAAAATGTAAATATTTATCTGCAGTTTCAGAAAGTAGGCATACTCAAAAATAGAAGTAACATGTGTGCTTTTGCATCTTTCCATACTGGAGCTTCTAGAGGTCAATGAGCTTATGAATGACCGTGTGAAGGATAACAGGGATTATTACATGCAACCATCAATAACCTGAATCCTAATTCCCAAGGGTGATGATGTAGGTGTAATAGACTGCAAGAAAGTTCATTTGCTATTTCTTCCAATTGTTTGATTAAGAATATGAAGATTGAAATTATGATGACTACATTTGTTAATTGATCAGACAATTTTTGTTGAACATTTCCAACTAGAATTCTTAGTAAACTTTCCACCATTTTATATAATATGTTATTATTGGCATTCAAGGTCTTGTGGTTCTGTCATCAGGTTTACAGAGTTTCAGACATGGAACTTGTAAGAGTACTGCCCAGTGCAGAGGATGAGGTCAATGTTGCTTGTTTTCATCCTTTTGCTGGAGGAGGTCTTGTCTATGGAACCAAGGTCTGTGCCTCATGCACTTGGAAGATGTTAAATTTTTTCTATTCATTCTTAATTTACAAAATTGCTTTGCTGCAAAATACAGGAAGGGAAACTTAGAATCCTTCAATATGATGGTGCGTCAGGATCCAATTTCACAGGACTGAACTCCTTTCCTGAGGAAAACTTGGCCGAGGTAGAATAAAGAATAAGCTTACAGTGTATTCTTTGCTTTGCGAATCAGTTATCTGGTTTTCTTTGTGGAAAGGTGTGGTCAGTTAATGGTTCTTCCTGATTGCAGGTGCAGACATATGCTCTAGAATGCTAAAAATCAGTGGTCAGACTTCATACATAAGTTGCTCCAATCAGCTTGGTTGGTGCATCCCCAGTCTTAAGTTTAATTTTCTTTCCTTACGGTTTTTCCCTTATATGTTCAATAGCTGAAGCATGACCAATTGGATGTACACTGAGCACACTTTTTAACTGCTTTTCCTTTGACAGGGCATTTTGTGATTCATCAACTATAGAAGATCCGTGTGCCTGGTTTGAAGAGGAAGTGATTAGCTGCTGGATTTTCTAACATTTTAATACCCTTCCCGAGAAATTTTCTAATGCTTTAATCAATATGTAAAATATTTTATGGTAGTTGTATCTCAAGACAAGTTTCCTTCTTTTTCTTGTCATATTTTATTACAATATCTGACTTCATTGTTGTTTCCTAGTAAGAAAATGTTCCCTTGATTGTTAGTAGCTGTTGGGACTTTTGTACCTCTGATTTGCCAGTGGGTTAGTCATCATCCATCCATGGCCTCTCGAATAACTGCCCTTTGGCTGTATACTTGGTTCGTTTTTTCTTTTTTTTTTTTGTCAACCCCTGCTGCATGTTTTATAATGATGTAACCGTGAAACTCTTTGGATGCCTTGTCTAACCAGAGAAATGTGACGATGATGGCATTTCTTTTTTATTTGTAAATTTAAGTTTTGAGTTTAACTACTTCCATTGTGAGTAAAATGAACATCATACTGTTTGACTCTACTGATTACATGCATATTCAGTAAAAGTATAATAATCTCTCTAATCTCTCAAAGCTCTCTCTTCTATCTTATTAACCCAGAGTGTTTATTTCTGGGAAACATTCTTGCGACAAATCCTTTTCTTTATATGCGGGTTTAAGAACATCACCAAACGTCCTCTCTTACCACGACACTATCGATCAGCTCTGCATTACTTTAATATTTATAATAATAGTATTAATTAAATATGTTATATTTGTGATATCTTAAGAAATTATGTTACATATTCATGAATTTAAGATCATATATTGTATCCATTATATAATATTCAATTAGTAGTTCAGTTTATATCAACGATGATCTTCTAAAAAGTACAAATAGAAACAATCTACAAGTCGCTTTTTTTAACAAAAGAAATTATGTTAAATTTCAATTAGTAGAATTTATAGTTTGGAAAAATTTGAGCTAGTAATGAACACCTAGTTTCTAGTTAAGATAATTGATACATAATTTGCGCCGATAATCTCATACTATTTTTTCGTAATTTGACTTTCTTGTCGAAGGGGTCAGTTAGGTGAGCCATTATTATTTAAGCAGGGCAAAAATGGTGAAAGCTCTACACGTGAGTGTACGGTGTCCTCATCAACCAAACTTCACGGCTGAGCTAAGCCTCAGAGCAGTAAATGTTGGAGGTTGGGAAGCTGCAAAATTATTTGTACCAGAACCAAATGACTTTGCCGAAAAGACAAGCCCAAATTACGTTGGCAGGACATAGACTTGTTTTATTTCTACATTAATCGAGCATGATTATGGCTAATCTAATTGATAAATTTTTGCTTATGTCAACTTGTAAGGTATACTTTATTCACGTGATAAGCTAAATGACAAAAGACAAATAAATAGTTAATAACTTATCATAAGCTTCAAAAGCAAATTAAAAGCATTGGGTCATATGACTTGACCATGCTACAAGATATGTAATTTTTTGTCTAAATGAATTTTAAAATAATATACAAGATTTTTATAATTTTTTTGGAAATGATAAATTTATGAATTAGTTTTAGAAGTCAAAATCTTTATTCAAGTGTTTTAAATTGCACGAGCTTATTATTTGAGAATTGTTATACGATGGTTATGAAAAACTTTATCTTATCTCTACAAGATAAATAATCTTTAAAAAAAATATTACAAACTTTATGATAAGATGACACATAAAGATAACTTT